TTGGGAGGGGGGGGGGGAGGGAGAGAGAGATCTGTACACAGTTAATCCATGCGAGTTTACAAAAATGTCCCCAGAAGCATCGGAGTTGCTGCAAAGTGGCTTTAAGCAAGAACCGTCCCCTAGTTGAGTGCATCTATCATTAGCAGTTGTAATGTCCGTTCACCGCTTGGACACATTCGTGATGTCAGTTACCACATTGAACGTGGGCACCACTCCCGACTTAGTGTCATCATCCTTCTTGAAACCTGACCGCACAAAGACACGGATGCTGATGATGATGAGGTTGTCAAGTTTGATTGTTTTACTGGCTACCGCGTCCATCGTACTTTTCCATCGAAAAAAAGAGCTATTAGCACGCATTTGAAGTAAGCTGGATACCACCGTTCTGTGGGTTTTTTTCCTCGTCGATCTATTCTCCACATTATCGTGTCTATTCTTGAGTGCAGGCATTATTATATATTTTCACACACGTGTGACTCCAACATGTGTACCAAACAAATCATAGTACAATGATCTTTATAAAATGAAAAGCGCTCCATGATTTGCATGTGAGCTCAATACTGCCAGAGTGCCCAGGTCAAGACAAGTGAGCTCTCTTGGGGAATCCACTACCGGAGCCTCCGGTTAACCAAAGCCAAAAAATCATATAGATGTTTCTCTTCTTGTGTTGTATGGTGATTTAAACCACTTTTATTTTTGAAGCGTACTCGGTTTGACTAGTTTTGCAACTTTCTCCACTAAGACAAGTTTCATCCTCACATGTCGGTCCTCAGAGCACATTACCACCAACTGGTTTGCGCAATCTTCGATTAGCAGCGCTCCACGTACGCGCTCTCCGTCACATTGTGCGAATATTTTCACGTTTTCAACGAATGTCCTTGCTACTCACGCGATTACATTCTGTGTCTGAGACATACTCGGACATTTATTTGTTGGTGGTTTATCAGTTTTTGTAACTCAGTGTCAAACCTCGATCAAAAACACAGGCGCGCATTGCGGTACGTTGCGCTTGATTGCATCCCGTTGGTCAAGATGCCCGTTCCTCCATTGGTCAGCTCTAACATTCCTCTCATCGATTGGATCACTTCTGTAAAAACCTCCCACCCAATCGGAATAGACAAACAAAAGTACATTTTGAGTGAATTATCTGGTGAGAATGAAAGTTTCAGTGGGAAAGGATTAGACTGTTTGACTCTTTTCCACCCGGGAATGTTATGACCTTGACCGCGTTGATGGAGTGAGCTTTTGACAAGAATGAACAAAGTCCTCGGCAATTGCCCCCGAAGTGATCAATGCATTCTATCCACCACTTCATTGGGAACAACCTCATACTTATACCTTCTCCCTTTGGCTCTCCGTTTCATCGCATAGGTTCTTATCTTCGTTGAATTATTTCTTGTCATCGTCCTGTCTTTTCACAACTTGATAATATCCATCCGACCCTTATAGTTCAATGAGTGGGATATACGCTGATAAGAATAACTCAGTTATCCACGAAATGTACAGCACACGCCGTAAACCAACAAAAGAAAGTCCAGAATCTGATTACACAAAGTCAGACATGACGCCGCCAAACGTCGAAAATCGGAGACAAACGCGAGCACAATCCAAGAAACAGTCGTCCACTGGTCAAGGCATGCAGAGATCCCTTCCGCCGGGGGAGGAGTGTTGTGAGATACTACTCACTTGCGAGTAATACGCCAACGATGCGATCAGCGATTTCTTTCAGGGATCAAAAATCAACAAAACCTGTTGGGGAAAATTGCTGCTGTTCGGTATGGTAAACCCAAGAGTGCTCATCTAATAGTGGATCGTTCCACCAACTATCCTATGTGTGTGTGTGTGTGTGTGTGTGTGTGTGTGAGTTGTGCAACCCCGTTCCAAATGAGATATTTTGTTGTATGAATGGCAATTTAACCATATCTCGAACGTCATTGGCAATAAAAAACTATCCTCAACCAGCACCGTCTTTTGAAAACATAACAATGGTAGATCCACGGGCTAGGTACCACAACTCCTCATTCGCAAGTTCTTCCGTCTCCTCAGTGTATCTCTGAAACAGATGTCTTTATAGTTTTCATCATCTTCCCCTCTAGTTATCTGTCCCCCCCCATTGATATTGAGGTTATTGAAACAATTAATGCCTACTGCTATCCTGTATTTATCCAACCAAAGGATTACCTCTTTACTACTAAAGTCTCAGTTTACGAGTGCCATAGTGCTTTAGCTGTTGGGCACTTGTCCAGGCTTATCCAAGCTGAACTAAATAGACTAGACGCATTATTCTCCGATTGAATTCTGAGGATCGGAAATAACAGATACCTGTGGCAAGGCATCAGACTTCGCATTGGAAGGACAAAAGTGTGGTTTGAGCTGGATATTGATTCTACCGATTTGCACCAACTTGGTGCAGTAGTTTTGCAACAGTCGGTAATTGTTTCACGTGCATACATTTGGCAGGTAGGTCCCTCAGAAATATCCATTTCTTCGTTCGTTTGGAATAGATACTTTCTGGCTGCTGGGTTTGGTGACAGTTTTTACTTGCGTGACTGACGCTGGTAGCTGTTGCAAACAATAAATTCCTGTCACACAACTGATGGATGGTGCTCTTCCCTATGAGATATCCATTGATTGAAAGGAGCCGCAAGCTCTGCAAGTTTCTTCTTAATTTCTTTTATTACACACATTTTGTGTGGTGAACAGCAACCGGGGTAAGGTCCACAGTCATGAAGACCCACTGTTCCGTCATGGAAACCGATCACCTAAGCCCCGCGGAACTTGCAGTGGTGAATCACATACGGCCCCACCAGGTTGGAAGTGGTATTGCACCGGACGACAGCGACGCTGCCTATTACCAAAGTTTGGTGGCGGGGCTCGAACCTTGGACCATGGGGTTCAAAGCACACCCGGGACAACGACTATAGCACTGTACCACTTCCATCCTTTGCATAGTTTTGAATGTGTCTAATTCATTTTCTCCATTTTCATTTTCTTATTGGATACTATGGGCAAGCTAGTTAATGGTCAACATATTGTAAGCATGTGCACATATACTCGAGAGGGAGTGGATCTCGCTGTCCTTGAGCGAAGGGAAGACGTTTGAGAAAACACTGTACGCAAGCCTTGACTATCGTCACAGTTAACTTTTAAACATAATTATATGGGAGAGTGATATCGGAAATTAAGCACTCCTACTATTGTTTTCCTTCTCTTTTTATGCTTCTCGTAAATCTCAGTAGTGAGCGAATTTTGTGTTATCCTTAAAAAGTTAGTATTCGAAATCATTTTTTTAATCAAATTCCTGATTTTTGCTGTTGCGTTTTGTTTAACAGAGCATCTTCAATGGTCTTCACGTGATCTTCGTTCCGTATTCTGTCATGCAAGTAGACCCCGGATCATGGTTACGTATGGTTACCAAATATCGAGGTGAGTCCGACTATCCAATCAGCATCATTCCTATCTCGCTCAAATCACATTACACGTTGGATCCTTTACTCATTTTTATCCTAGTGATCCTCCACTAGTACATCTTATTTCTGACCATGATTCGCTTTGCTGTCACCTTTTGAGGCATATCTTATACGGGCTCTTTGTTGACCCAACTTCGGCAAAAAATATTTCATCGTAGTCCTTGGACTGTGATTCGGCGCCAAGTGATCAACGAAATCGCATCGCGTGGCAACTTTCTTAAAATGATACCTGGTCAGAACTGAAACAAACACAAAACGGTCTGATCAGTTGCCTGGTGGCCGTGTGGGAGTATGCTTGCGTTCTGCCGGCGAGGTCCCGGGTTCGATCCCCTCCCCGGTTGAGTCGATGGATTTGCGCACTTCTGCTGATGAGACTGAACCAGTTCGAAAAAGCTGTACATTGGTGCTTCCTAGCTTTTCAGTTCATGCTTCATGCGCTATTTACACGACGAATTTCCCGTTTGAAGAATATTAATAACAAACTCTTAGTTTAGTGTTATAATTTGCTGAATTCATACATACGAACCGATTGTCGGTGCGATGAAGTCACTTTACCGCTCATGCCTCAACTTAGTATCCATGCTCTCTTAGTCTACATGAACCCTTCGTTTTCACCTTGGCATTACCTTTAACATTCCAATATTCCCTCAAATCCCTTATTGAAATGGGCACTCAGAAGTTCACTGCTAAACCTATCACACGAAAGTGCCTGGAATGACTCTCTCCCCCTAAGTCAGAAATTCCGATCTTACGAAATACACGCCTCTCATTTACATCGACCCCCTTCAGTTTCGGTTTCATCGTAGATTTCTCACTCATTGGTCGTTGTGCGCTGAGACCCAGCCTCTGAAAACTCCTTTTCATGGTGCATTACCATGGCCTAATCACTGATGAAAATTAGTCACCCCTGTCTTTATCATCACTGTACTCTCTTCTGAAGCGGTACCATGGCAACTAACCATACAAAATATGTTGATGATATTCTGGACACTGCTTCAGTCAGATGCTCGTTACCAAAAGCCTACGCGCAGTTTTAGTCATTTTTATGTGATTTCTAGTTATTCAAATATTATTATGAGTTTAGATTTTCGTTTTAATCAGAAAGCTGATCAATTGCTCCTGTCAATCGACTGATCGACGAATTATTCATGCGACGGATGATGGATTGATTGATTGATCGAGCAATAAATAGTTCAAATGCACAGCGCAAATTCAATCGCCGTTTGGATTAGGGAAGCTTTGTATTTTGGGCGAAAGTTGTACACAGGCTTTAGTCCAACAAGAAACACCCCGGTTGTAATATTGGTTGAAAAAGATCAAAATCGAAATATTAGCTCGGCAAAATCGAGAACGAACTGTCAACATCCTCTTTGATCAATCTTGTTATATCTTCGTTTTCAGTTTCAGTTCGAGCAAACAATAACCATACACTTAAGTGTGACAGTTCTTGTCCTCCTTTTCTTCCTCCTAAGCAACCGGTGAGATGAAAAGTAAACAGCAGATTGAAATATTGAATGCACTACCAGAGTCATAATACACTACTCATATAGACTAAGTTTTTCACGGGCACTGCTTAGTTGCACAAACTCTACTGTTTAAGAATACCCAGCCGACATCACTCATACAGTGTGCCCAATCGTCGGTTACGATGATCCCGAGTTCCTCTATCCAGGATGCTTACGCAGTCTTTACGATCAAGTCCCGGGGGGGCGGAAGGGAGGAGTCAGGATTTTCCTAACCCCGGATGCCAACTCTTCGTTTAACCGCCCATTGTTTGCTTGGACAAATATTGCGCACCGTGTTAATCAATTTGTTCCATTGTGCATCTAACCATCGCTTTGGTTGTCCGATTTCCCACCAAACTAATGTGAGTTTCTGTAATTCTTTTTTTTTTCTTCAGCTGTTCGAATTCTTATCCCAGTATATCCAACTGTAACTTGTTCTGATAAGTTTTTCGTGTGCAAACGATTCTCGCAAGCCAATATATGCCGGGGTGTGATTCCAGAAATGTCACAGTAGTGTGAGATCCAAACAGGGTAATGTCATCCAATCGAGAGGTTTGGCACATAGATAGGTTAAAGAAGAACAACAACTGATTATATCATTGCTCGTTTACCACAAAATTATCAATAATACGCTGTATAAGATCCCATTTCCCATTAAAAAAACAACCTGTATGTATATTATGTGACATTTGCACAAAATTTTCGGTCTTCTTCCTTGTTTTTTTTTGATCATCAACAATCACTAAGTCAATCTCAAAGCGTAGTACTAGTACCCCGTGAAAATAGTGAGTTTTCGTTTCGCAAGCATCCCCCGAGTGAAATACCACGCGAGTTTATCGATGGCGTCTATGACACAATAAATCTGAATGGTCACTAATAATTCGATCATTGTTTATTATTCTCATCTCAGTCACTGGAAAATGCTTTTCTTTCGAAACGAATTAACCGATCTGCTAGCCACCGACCGTCAGCATCAACCTTCCTATCTTGTAATTGGCCTTTTATTGTTTGAAAATTATAATTGCCAACTGGATCAACAAGGGCCAACAGTACGGAGATATGTGTATATTTTCACACACGTCTGAAGCCCGGACTGTGTTCCGGAAAAATCAGTGTACAATGATCTTACTTAAAAAAAAAGAAAAGAAAAGAAAAATGTTCCATGATTTGCATGTGACCGCAATGCTGCCAGGGTGCCCAGGCCAAGACAAGTGAATTTTCTTGAGGAACCCACAACCGAAGCCTTCGACTAACCAAAGCCTACCCGTGTTCCATTGGGGGTCAGTGTCAAGTTCACCGGATCATACACCCTTTGGACGGAGTAACACGATCAAGATGTCCAGTACAACTCCATACCCAATCGAACTGGTGACCACTGTCACAACCATGAAAGTTTGTATGCGTGGTTTTTACGCTTCTTCTTGGTTTGCTTGGAATCAAGGTTTTTGGCCAACTCCTGTAGGTGAACTACCAGTGGTTCACCAACCCGGTTGTAGTCCCGAATGCCCGCTTGCTGTCCCCTCACGTTGATGGAAAAACACCTCCACCACGAGAGGACAGTTAGTAGGGCTTCTTCAGCACAGGCTATTTGAGACGCTTGGTCTAATGGGTGCATTTGGCAAGGTGCAAGGGAAGGGTGACCAGCCTCAACCCTAGACACCCACCCCTGATCATACACTGCGGCTTCCGGAAGTACGAGAACATCACTTTTAATCCTATTCCTCCAAATTCTAACGGGTCAATAAGTTCGATGACAGTAACTTGCACTTCCGGCTCATCGGTGTCTGTGACAGGTCAATAAAGCAACCGAATGCACCGATTATGTAAATTGTTCGCTTTTGCCTGATTTAGTTTTTGCGAGTTCAAATCAAGGCCAGATGGTTGAAGGAAGCATGGGAATTCAACAACCGCAAACGTGAGATCCAATGAGATCTGTACTGTTTTGCCAAATATACTCAATGGTGTCTAACGCATATTGACAAATACGTCGTTACTCATATGGCTACCTTAGCCGCTACTTCATTAGAAACTTAGGAATTATCGAATAATATGACTTATAAAACAGAGAAAAAATTAAACGTTTTCTCATGCTAATGAGTTCAACCGTCATATTTGGACGACAATACTGATCCATTCGAATATATTGCACAAAAATAGTTTTTACACACGCCAAACAAACCACGTTAATGTTCAATTCAATCCTCAGTTGTTAAGGGCAGTGGGAGGTCCCGTATTAGGTCCATCTCATTGTGCTCCACTGGGCTGATTAGGTGTTGATACCAGACCAGTGTTCCTGCATAACTCTGCCAAGTTTTAGCTTGAAGATGCTGTCGTTTGGCTCTTCCACCACGTCCTCCGGAAGTGCATGCCAGAGATTTGTCACCCTCCTCGACAGACGATAGATCAGCGGCAGACCGTTCGACTGCATCTTGCGGAGCTTCAGTGCGTGCCCCCTGAGGCGGTTGTTCCTCAGGGGGAATTCCAACTGCAATTCTGGGCCAAAGTCGCCTCGAACGATGCATTTGGTGTAAATCAGGTCGCCTCTCAGTCGTCTGTATGACATGGAGAACAGTCCTGTTGCACTCAGGCGTCCTCGTAGCTGATCCCACGTAGTCCTTCGACGAGGCGTGTAGCATCTCTTTAAACTCTTTCTAGTTGGGCAACCTCAGAAGCCGTACAAGGAAAGACCCCCGGACCGCCATATTCCGAGGGGGATGTACGTGGTAAACATACAGCAATTTGAAGGTCGATAGGGGTAACTGACCGAACGAACGGCGGATAGCACCCAACATACTCCACGCAGAGGCCTAGGCTTTGTCTATCTGTGAACGAGTTTTCAGGTTGCTGGTTCCTCAGTTGATTGCCGGAGCACAGTACTTCCAAGAAGATAGCTGGTGGTGAGACCGTGTCCTCCTATCCTCATTTGGGCGCACTTGGAGATATTCACCGGTAGCCTGCATACCCTCGACCAGTTCATCAAAGCATTCAGGTCATCCTGCACAGACAACTGGTCCGCTTCTGTCCGGATTGTTCGCCAGAGCTTGAGGTTGTCCGCATAGATTAGACACGGGCTGCTCAACGTTGACGGTATGTCGTTCGCAAAGATCAGGAACAACAATGGGCCAAAAACGGAGGGACACCACTGATGATTGTGTACCACGCAGATTGCGCCTGAGAAACTCTCACTGAGAATGATCTCCCTTTCAAGAAATCCTCTAACCAGCGAAGTGCCGACCCTGTGACACCCAGAGTCTCGAGTTTTGTGAGCAATTTATCGTGGGACACTTTGTCGAACGCCTTGCTGAAGTCACATCAGGCTTTATATAAAAAGAAAAGAAAAAGAGGTCCGTGATTTGCTGGAGGACACGACATTGCTGCTGCATTGTCTAGGCCAAAGCAGATGGATTTTTCAGTGAGTTAACAATCGGAGCGTTCAACTGAACAAAGCCCG